TTAAGTGACATTGGGTTTGCACGCGTGTGTCAAACCTGAAGTGGAAGTGACAGTGATCTGCAACAGCCGCGAAAATAACGTTTTCAATAGGCTGTTATTTGATTTGGACGTTGGCCTTTGCAATCTGTGATCCATAGAGTTTTTATTCATTATTCAACTCTAAAAGACTCCGTTTGAAAAAAAAAAAATAAAATAATGTCAATTACTTGTGTCTTCTCACTAACTCATTCACTGCCAAAGACGTTTTTAAACGTCTTTTCAGACTTGGTCCAGAATTGGCTGGTACTGAATGAGCTAATCAATGGCAGGCTCGATCTCATCCTCCCAAATAGTGCGGGATTGCGGTCATTTGTTCTAGGCTAAAACCGTACGGTGGGTCTTTTGTTTCTGATGGTCCCGGCACACGATGTGTGCCAGAAAAGTTGCAGGACTGATGTCACAAGTAGACAAAAGTACAGTCATACCTCGGTTTTCGACCATAATCCGTTCCAGAAGGCTGTTCGAAAACAAATTTGTTTGAAAACCAAAAGCACGCTCTTTTTAAAAAAAAAAATCTTTATTGAACACGTCTGCTCACAATGGAACGCTACACGAGGAAGCGTCACTTCCTCGTCTACCTGATGAAGCGTCTCTTCCTCGTCTAAGGAAGGCGAGAGGAGTCAAGTGGCGAATTCAAGTGCGCTCAGTTTGGTCAAGAACCGATTTTCGGTCGTAATCCGAGGCATAAAAAACTCGAAATTTTTGGTCGAAAACCGATTTGGTCGGGAAGAGAGACGTTCGAAAACCGAGGTTTGACTGTATATATTAACCCTTTCAGGGACAGCAGTTACTACAGTGGACATCTTACCGTGTTATCAGGTTACAGAAAAAAAAGTAGCCTCCAACACACGGCAACTGACAAAGGAGGAGTAAAAGTAGGAAAATTTACCAGGACAAACGCCAGAACGTACAGCAAGAAACAAAGCACACAAACATCATAGTTACGATTGCTGGCCTGGCGTTTTTTACCCCATCAGACCATCGAGAGGAAGAAAAAAAATCACTCTTAACACACATGACAGGGTGATCAGTTGGGATAATCTTTTTGAAACGTCAAATAAATCGGCCTTGCAGGCTGAAATTCAGCGAGTTTGTTGGTATGTGTTAACCTGCTTTACTCAAGAACAGGATTTTATTTTTTTTTTGAAGAGGGTGTGCCTTCTCTGCACCCAACAAACATTCATCTTGTTTTATTGAAAGCTGATAAAAATGGAGCACATGCTGGATTCTTTTTTTTTTTCGTCAAGGGCTCAGCATCACTGGGAAACCCGCAAAGATGAAAAAAGGAGCAGCGGCGATGGGATCCCATCAGAGATGAGATGAGATATGCTCGGACAATGCCGATTAAGAATGTCTGGAGGAGTCGCTTTTGAAATGAAACCTGACGTCTCTTTTTCCACAGTCTGTCAGGGATATTTGGTGGCTCATTTGAAGCTCATGAAATTGCCCCTCGCGCTTTGGAGTGCTGGCTTGAGTTGCTTCCCCAACGTAATGCATGACATCGGACTAGTTACTGTCTTTTAAAAGTAATCCGTTTAAGTACCATCTGAATCGGATTGTGTTATTCATAGACACAATCTGAGGATCCACTGTGTAGTATGTACCGTTACGCCCCTACTTAACCCTTTCATGCACCCTGTCACCTGATCGCATGATAAGCTGTCCACTGTCGTAACCGCTGTCTCTGAAAGGGTTAAACTACATGACTGTGACTTAAAGCAGAAGTAACGTACATAAACATAATGAGCCTATCTGTTCAAAGTAAGGATTGGGAATTACCGATATAGGATTTCAGTGTGGACATTTTTACTCAGGAGTGTCCTCACTTTTCTTTCCAGCCTTGCCACGATTCTGACGGTATGATAACCTTGAACCAAAGTTTTGGTTGTCAATGTTTTATTTTTAAAAATTTTGTTCAATATCTTCTTTTCCATTGAACATGCTCCATAGGTACTTAGTCAACGTCAAAAGAAAATAAACTATTGCATTTTTTTCAAAATACAATCCACATTAAATTCGCTTATTTCTACGAAACTGAATAGCATCTCTACTTTATTCCATTTTGTGATACAACGATTGGAAATGACCTGACATTAGCTATGCTAGCTAGCTAGCAGCCGCACTGGTGAGTCGTAGTTATTTCACAGAATCTGGACACGCTAACGCTGGTAGCTGATCACAAACGTTCATTTCATTTCAAGGCAACATTATACAGTATAAAGTAAGGTGACCTTGAATTTTTTGGGGTGACAGCCTTAGTATTATCTCCTCGAGCTAGCAGTCGCTACTATACAAGCTGCGACAAATTGTCATTTCTTCAACCCTGTTCCATGAAAAGACAGAAACTGTGATACGGAAGTCTCCCATTGTGAGAGACTGTATATGTTTTCAAATGTAACAGTAAATATAAAAGTCGTCTGAAAAATAAATAGTCAAGTAAAGCCCAGACGCCTCCAAACAACCAAGTCCGGTATTATACAGTAACAAAGTATTTGGCCTTTGTTGCTTCCCACGACTGTTGTTTATTCTAATTGCATTCCCAGCTGTGTTGTTTTGCGAAAAGAGACTGTTCGCTGTAAGCAAAACCAAGAGCAATGAGCTATTCTGACGCTCGCTTGCAGCGCTCGTCCGTCCAGCCGGCAGCTTAATGAGCTCTCTGAGTAGATTGTCTTTCCATTTCAAATGGGCCCCGTTCCGTTCTCGCCACTGATTGGAGAGTCCTCCACCTTGATTGGCCGGTAAATATCGGCCTGCTACGTCATGTCAGTCAGCGAACCGGGCGGCGGTCACATGGCGGCTCGTGTTGACGCAGGGCTAATCTTTTTCACCGTTAAGACTCATGCCACTGCCGCCACCCCAGAGGGGTCCTCATTAGCGGCGAAACGTTGCGTGACCTTTTGAGCGTCTTCGCTCCTTCCCGCCACCTACGCCCTTGCCCAGCTGGGCCCAATTACCTCGCTCATTAACCCCCTCCTAAACAGTATCCAGGTAGCTCCCCCTGGCAGCTAGACGACTAAATACATAACACGAATTGAAAATGAGCTTCATCTCAGACGTGTGGGTTGTAGACTTTTCTCCTGGCGCTAATGGCTCGTTTTCTTGACTTACGTGGCATTCTGACTTTTAGCGCTTTGAAAGTACAAGGGTGTCGTGTGTCCCCCGCCCCCTGCACTCTTTAACTGGCCATTAGTCATGTTTTGCATTTTGACTTAGATGACACAGATACAAGTTTGACTTAAATGTCAGAAAATTCATAAAGGGAGCATTCTAGTTCTTTCCCATTATACTTTTAGGGCTTGACTGTATCAAAAAAAAAAAAGAAAATAATAATAGGCTGATCCCAGTATTTGCCACAGAAATATTCCAATAACTCATGGATCGCCTGGTTATTTAAAAAAAATGAAAAAAAATCCCCCAATTTTTTCTTTTTTTTAATTACAGGCGCAAAATTTGACTGTTTTACAGTACTTTATCCTTTAGTATTTGTTTAACTTTACAACCGAGAGGTATTTTCATTCAAAAAAAAAAAATGAGGGATTGAAATTCTGATTTTATTATTTGCAGTATTTAAGCATAACATAATCAGTGAGGTTTGACGACTTACCTACTGAACAGCATTTTCTGATTCAGGAAAAAGTCAGATGATATCGGTGTTCGATCCGCATAACTTATTATTTTGAGTACGCCAAAAAGTGGCGCATATAATCGGCCTGGCCATTATTCGGTTGGACCCTAATCGTGTGCCATCATGAGAAAGTGAGATGATATCGGTGTTCGATCCGCACAACTTATTATTTTGAATACGCCAAAAAGTGGCGCATATAATCGGCCTAGCCATTATTGGCTAATCGTGTGCCATCATTCGCGCACCAGCTTTATTGTATATTTTTTTTAGATTATTAAATTTTTTTAGACATATCTGATGTGAAAATCAAATCAAAAGTTTTTTTTTTTTTTTTTTTTTTAAAGTACATTGAACCCCAGGGGAACAGGACCTGCGTCCACATGCACAATGTATATGCATCCTTTCCCAGTAAAACCCCCATTTCTCATCCCCTCCGCCTAAAATATATGCCGGCACATTGACGAGATATTCGCGCACCAGCTTAATTGTATATATTTTTTTAGATTATTCTTATTTTTTTAGACATATCTGCAACCTTTCCCAGTAACCCCCTCAACCCCCATTTCTCATCCTCTCCGCCTAAAATATATGCCGGCACATTGACGAGATGATAGGATGATCAGTGCGTCCTTCTCAAACCGGCAAGACGAGAGGGTTTGGGCGCGGCGGCGAGCCAAAGAGATGGATGATTATCCTAAAAGTAGCATGCTTAATTAGATGGAATGCTGCATACATTGTGGCCCGAGTGGAATCACTGGGATAGATTAAAATACTAATTAAAACAGGCCCTCGCCCGATGTGGAGTGCGAGGTGAGCTTCAGTCTCTGCAGGGTCATTTGCATAGCCTTCATCTGGGGGGGGGTGAAGAAATGGGATTTAAAGGACCTACTCGTTTTAACTCGTATTCACATGCTAACAAACTCAATTAAAAGGATGCGGCGTTTTGCCGCGCATTATTTAATTTGCCGTTATCTATGAAAGCCCCCCACCCTTTGATTTTTGTTTTTCAACCTACGTGTTTGCTTCAAAGGTAGGAAGTGATGGATGTGTCGGATTTACATGAGAATATGTCTGACGAAGCGAGCCGGTGGAAATGGCTTCGGCGCATTTGATGAGATCGCGAGATGCGCGGTGTATTAATTATTGTAAGGACAAAAGGAGGGGGGCTTAAGTTATTAACGAACACACTTCAGCTTCAGTCGGTTGCGCTCTCAAATGGTTTGCGTCGTTACAGTGTTGCAAGAAGGAAATGGGGCCAGTTTGCTCCGAGCTCATTTGCAGGCTTTTAAACCAATCGTACTTTAGTGGTAGCTTGAAGTTTGAATGGTCCTAAAAGTTGTCCAAGTCCTGTTGTGGATTTTCTTGCTTCTACTAAGTCACCTTTATGGGTGTTACTGGTTTTATTTTACTTTTGTTTAACTGCATTTATTCGCTTGATACGATTCTCGGTCACTATAGTTGTCTCATTAGTGACAACTTTCCGGCCAGTGGGCCTCTTTGGAAAGCTCCGAACATTTATTTAACCGTTTCTTGAACCATTGGGAGGGGGAAGTCATTAGATCAAGGTGAATTGATTCAACTCCACCTCAAGACAATGATCATTACTTCAACATGCTTCTTTGATGCCAATTCCTGTTCTACTTTACTGCTTCGACGGGGTTTTGGCGCCCTCTTGTGGCATCTAAAATCACCTTTTAGTTGTTAGTTGTTTTCCAGAGAGGATAAAGAATATATACCTGTTAGGGGTTGCTGCAACTTTTGTCTTCAAACATACGCTGTTTAACAATGCAACTCCTATGCTATTTGTTAGCTCGTCTGCGGTGTTTTGCATAATGTGTGAACATTATGGCAACAGACAACTAAGACAAAGCGATGTGATAGTCTGAAATATCTGACTGTCGCCTTCAACGTGTGTATAAACAGCTTGAAGTCACTTTTTATTGTTGTTCACTATCTGCCAAACTGCTTCTTGTTGTTTCGTGAGTTGAGTTGCATTCAGGCACCACCGAACTCCATTTTAGTCATCAGCCATACCATGCGACGATCGGAGATCATCTCCAACTGTTCGTGACATAGACTTCCCGGTAACTTGTGACCGACACTCTTCTCGCCCTACCATCACTCGGCATCCTTCAGATTGAATGACCGTCGCAGAAACAGCAGTGATATTTTTTAGCGCTCGGTCGACGCAGCCGAGCGCTAAATGACGCACATTCCTGCGTGAACCACTCGTTCCTTCCCATCATTTTGTCATCTGACTCACGCCGTCTCATCCGTTGCATCACTCACGGTATCACTGACCAACTCGTTCCGCCCCTGGAAGTGGGAATAAAACCAAAAAAAGTGATACTTTGTCATTCTCTGCTCATACTCACCGCCGCCTCCGCTTTTGTCTGTGCAGTCCAAGGGAAACAGCAGCTGGAGAAGGAGACAGGCCTGAAGATAGTGGAGGCTGGAGTCAGTGACGTAAGTTACAGTCACTAAAAATATCCATCCATCCGTTTTCTACACGGCTTATGCTCTTCGGGGGAGCTTGACAAAGACGTCGACAACCACACATTTGAGTCGCTTAGGTGACTGTGCCAGGACAGCACAGGTATGACCATTCGTGTAATTTGACGTCCAGCGAAAGTTTTTCCATTGTTCCATTTGAGCGGTACAATCGAACTCTGCTGTTCGGGTATAATTGACACACATTAAAACAAATTAAACGTGGGAAACTTTTTTTTTTTCTTTTCAAACACCTCAAAAATTCTTCATGTTGCACAAATAACGGGTTGGTGATGGCGTGTAATACGGAAAAAAATGGGTTGAACAAACCCCCCCAAAATAGAAAAAAAAAATGCATTCAAAAAAGGGGAAATTTGAAAAATATGCAAATCAGATGGTGCCGATCTGCGATCTTGCTGGGTTTGTCTAGAAAAGCTCTATACAGTCTTAAAACTGCTGGCTTAAAAGTAACCCAGTACTAGGTTAGCTAAACCACTGCATTGGGTTGATTTGAATCAGCACGTTGGGTTAATCCAGCAAGTAATGAGTTAAAGCTACCGAGTAATGAGTTGCCAGGTGATCAGTATAGCTTGGGCTAAAAAAAATAATGAAAAAAATTAAATGCAAATATTTAAGGGGGGGAGGGGTGCGCAATTGTTTCGCATATTTTTGTTTGCACTCATGGGAAACGAAATGACAGCCGCATCAGTTTTGGCATCCATTTCACACCTGCAGCTTCATTTGTGCAGCCGCACGCCAACATCTTAAGCCGTCCGACGTGTCGCCGGCACGTACCCCGCTCAAGTGTTTTTGCGGTGAATGCCATCCGTCCCCGCGTTCATTTCCTTTAGGTGGCCCTGAGAGCTTTTGTCGCCATGGCAAATAAAACACAAGACAAAAAAGCCAAAGGCGTTTTGTTCTAAGGCGATATGCGCAGCCGCTGCTGCGTCCAGATTATCCGGAGGGCTTGTTGGACCCCGCCGATGCACCCGTGACATATTCATTGGACAAAAATTAAGAGGGGAACTGGAGGACCCTCACGAGTGATCCAGATGAAAGGAAGAGTAAATGTGTATTCACCCCACGCTGATAAATATTCATATGTGTCAGAGGTAAGGATCTAATCAAGCGCCCATTGATGCATCATAGCTGGCTTAGTAAATGAGTTTCTATGCGGAAATGAGACAGACAGCCTCGTAGACCCCTGAGCTGGCCCTGATCACCAGGCATGCTGAGATGGATGCTGCCTGTGCATCGCGGGACGGTTGCCATTGGCAACAGCCGTCACCCGCGCCGC